GTGATTCATAAGTGACTGGGACATTTTAAATACGTTTCTCTAATATTTGCTTGCTGATGAAATTTACTGGACAGGTACAACCTTTAAATTATCTATTTTTATCTCAAGCATCCAACATTAAGAGTGCTCTGATTGGTATAGATATTAAAATTACTGGGTCATAATGTATTAGGAATATAGTATTAGGAATATAGAATATAGTATGTAGATATACATTATGTGATTTGTTAATTGTTATCCTGTTTTGAATATATACGACAATTATTACCAACCTACATTCAAATACATAATTTTTTTATTATTTCGCAAAGTCTAAGTTGAAGTAAAGCCATGTCTATAGAAAAGAGCTTTATCTCCATTGACACTAATATCGATTGATATTGTAACACAATTAAAAATATACACAATACAGCAATAAGGATAGATAAAGGCACGCAATATAAAGAGAATCGGATGAGACAACACAAAGGAAAAGTAAAAGAAATTGGCATCCGAGTCGGATCCAAACATTGCAAATTCTCACGTAGCCCAATATTTTTTTGTTACATTCCTAAGAATGAAGAGGCATTCACGAAATAAGCACTGAAAGCAACGTTTTCCGGTAGTTTAAAATGCCTAAGAGAGTAATTGACCACATCGTTCAAATAAATTCTGTAGGTACGTTATTTGCATAAAATTTCACAACGATGAGTTCTGTGTATTTCAAAATATTTCAGTTAATGAAGCACCTTAATATGAACTTTTTTGTGATGAAAATAAAGCAGAAAATTGTTTGTGGAATAAGCTGAATAATATGATATTCAACTGTAGTTATACGTTAGGTACGAGTACGTGTGGTTAACTTTTTAATAATTATGCCAGGTTCGATTGGAAAATTGTCAAGTTGATACTTTGTATATGTATTTATACTCCTTATAATTAAAAAACTACTAGTCACATATTCATTAAATTTATACGGCACCATAATATAGAGTTGAGAAGATGCAACTTTCAATTAAATAATGAATCATCATAGTCTAAAGAAGAACAGTCGAATTTAGAATCTCTTCCTTTCTTGAAATCGGTTGAAAGGTCAGACGAATTGTATATAGGGGGTAAAAAATGTTCAATATTGAATGAAATTATTTTCATCGAGGATTGTTAATTATTGATTTCAAGCTATAAAGTGTCTTGAGGTGGAGATGACCGGTATCATAAGTCGGCGTGGTGTACCTATTTATAAATATATAAAAAAATATTTTATGTAGGTCGATTATCTCATTAGGTTTACTATTCAAAGATCATTTAAGCAGCTAAGGAGTGGAACTCTCTACCAGCGTCTATTTTTCCTGCCTCTTACAATATTGGGTCTTTTAAGTCAAGAGTGAATAGGTATTATTTGAGCTTGCGTGTAACAGCTTAGACCACATCATCACTTAACATCAGGTGAGATTGCGGTCAAACGCGCTCAAATTATGATATAAAAAAAAAAAAAAAATTTAAATAAAAGAAACACATTTTCCGGTAACGATATGTCATTTAAGAATACAACCGTCTGTTTTAGAAATCGTTTTCTGATGTCTTTAAAAATATCCATTGGCTATTTATCGAATAAATAGACAAAACGAATCATCCGATTCTTTCACATTACGCGATGAAAAGCTAAGAGAGTTTTCTTGAAAAGCTTCCACTGAAATGGAATTCGTTTCACAAGACTAAAGCAATCGAATTGATGCCAGTAATTGATTTAGGTATGGCCTTCTGTGTTCCATCTGCTCGGACCGCTCTCTACCTTTGTTTATTTTAACTTATTCTCTAATTTCTCTGTCAGATTCATACTGTATTTTGATGATAAGAATTTTCCTTTTATATTGTAATTAATTAAATAAGACTTTTAATAGAATAAGAACTTGGAACGTAATTCATTTAAATGTTTAGACTAAAGTTAGTGACTATAAATAAATTAGTATACATTTGTATATACAATTGTGTGTATATCAATCACATAGTAGTGAGTAGGTATACTATGTTATTTCCTTTAATGTATTTATTTGGATTTTTTTTTATTAGCATAACTTTTAAATATTATCTTAGCACTCTTTTTCCATATAAAGTTTAATTGTAGAATATATTATGCTTATTTGTTAGCCTATTTTCGTAAAAAGAATATCCATGATTTTTCTTCAAGTATTAGTGATAGTCAAGTAAGTAAATATAAAAGTAGGTATTTTAGAAGATTCTCTATGGATGGATATTATATTTCCATATAGTATAGGTACATTAACAAATTAAAAATAATCTTCAACATAAATTACATGTGATTATCATTTTTCTTAGTTATGTTTTGTGAGATTTGTGTCCATCTATTACGGCCATCCTTCCATTAATATCCTAGTTTCCACTATAATTTCCATTTCCATTAGCCTAGAACCAATGCTCATGTAATATTTTGAATTCTCATTTCCACGTGGTTATAAATCCGAGTCCATATGTTTACATGCAAATTTATAGATTTAGGTTTACCATAGACGATAATTTAGGAGTTTGCTATATATAGTAATAGTAGTATATAAATATTAATCAGCCTACCTACTTCGTCATATATAACTGGTAATTAACAATGAAATATGAAAAAAGACAATAAATATTAATTTTAGGTTATTGGTATAAATATAGAATGTAAGTTATAAAAAAAAATATTAATTATAAATTCGAATTTCGAATGGATCGATATAGCCAAATAGTAAATTACTTTAGAAACTCCTTATTCGATTATGCAAAACAGCACCACGTAGGTACCATTAGCATACATACATGGCATTTTGTTCGCGATCAACAAATTACCCTACAAATTGGTTTCTTTCACGTGTTCTCCTGAAACATTTCTCAGGGAAATGAAGTGTCTGACACTCTGTATAGTTAACAAGGAGGTTCGTGTTTTGAATCCACGATCTATCCGATGTATTTCATTAGCCCCTGATTCGTGACGAGCAGTTCAATGACTTAGTAAACAGATTATGTAAACACGCCGTTAGTTTCATAAGATTAGGGGTTTGATATCTTTATTGTTTTTAATTTACATATTTGCACGCAAATATAATGGAGTTAACTTGTGTCGCACCTTTTTAAGAGAGTATGTCTTTAGAAGTGATGAAGGAAAGCGGTTAAGAGTAGTTACAATAACGAGATTGTATAATAATATTATCCATTAAATGTGTAAAATTATAAAGAATCGTAAAACTATTTACAAGATTAAAAATAATGGCACTATATTGAAACGAATACGGAAACACGACACTCCACTCATTTCATACATTCCTTCCATAAAAAGCCATTCTATTTTATTTATCTGTATTGTAAATAACAAAAATTATAATCACATAAATTTGGTTACTATTGGAATCCCGATATGCAGTAATTACAAGATTACATGTAAAGAGGGATCTTATGAAGAATGTATTTGAACTCAAAAGAAATTGAACATGCTCACATTATGTTATTACATAAAACATCTTATGAATAGCTGCAAAAATAACCAGATTGAAATAAATATACGATTGCAAATCCGATAGCTTTTAGCGCTTATAAAATTGAATTTCAGTAGTGTAAACCATGTTCTGATTGCTCGGTACTGATTCAGTTGTAACCGTTGGACTTTTAATGGTATAATGACAACGTTCTAGTGAAAAGTCACACTTTTTTATTAATTAAACGATTTTGTTTCATATCTAGGTATTATTAAAAAAAGATACTAAGTAATAAGAAATAGAAAGGAGACAAAGAGAGAGAAAAAGGAATAATTACGTGGAGCAACTACAGTAAAAGCTAAGTGCCATCCATACTAATATTTGAGCAAAAGTGTGTCTGTCTATCTGTTTGTTACCCTTTCTTGACAATGCGGTTGAATTGGTAAGAATAGTCTTTTAAAAAAAAATCTTTCTTAACACAAAACAGTACAGTACAGTAAAGATCAGAACCAAAATATATCAATCTATATATTTCATGTACTCTTTTCATTGCATTTAATCCATTTTGTGTTCTATGCATATTTAACGATAATTGATTTTGCATAATCCCCAAAGCTATTAACTAACATTTATTTTTCTACGCTACTTTTTCCGATATAGCAGTAATACAGTGGCGTGCAGAGAACTCCATTTTCAATTTCCGCTCTTGTCCATATGTAACCAGAACAGAGAATGAATGTTTTCTTTTCAGTTATGGACGCCTTTTTGTTAATTATTGCAAACTACTAATACCTACGTTTTTGTGTGTTTTTTGTGCGTTGTTTACGCGTTTGTGTGTTTTAATATTTATTTCTTTCAAAATTTATATTTTTCTGAATGATATCTCATGTCAGAGGTCATTTTGTTGTTGTGCATCGTTTTATCTTTATGTCTAGCGTAATATAATAAAATCGCAAATTTGTGACTACGCGAAAACTGTTTGATTGTCTGTTTAAATCTATGAAGATTTAGTAGTTGAGGTAAAAGCGGCTGGAGACTTATTGAGAAGATTTTTACAGAACATGTTATTAAATATGGTACATCATGTAAGCTAAAGAAAGCTGAAAAAACTATACTTATTTTCTTAATTTTTTTCCTACCCACTCAGCCATAGATGAAATGCGACGATCCATTCCAACGTCGGCAATGATTTTGCAGCGGGCATGACAGATCCCAGTTACTACTCCACTACATCATTTACAGCAATTTGAACATGCTCAATTTACATTGGGCATCTTAACCCTCCGGAATAGCAACGCATTATTATTGTTAGAGGCGACAGTTATCGCTTACTATTTGATGGGCCGTCACCTCGTTTGCCATTTCAATTTTGTACAAACAGGACTATCCAACTATTAAAATATATTAACTTAAAATGACAATTCTCCAGACAGAACTAAAAATCTCCTTGTATTAAATTTGTGGCAATAATTACGTTCACTACCAACTAACCGGTTTCACTGGAAACTATCAGTGTGTTTGTATAGTGATAGTTATCATAACAGGTCAGTTGCTGTCAGTTATCGACGTGTGCGCATGTGTCGTGCCAGATACTGTTTAATGTATCCATTTGTGTTTTTAAGTGAATAGTATTTTCTTTATCATGGAATGGTGTACGACAGTATGTGGTAAAGTATCATTTTATATAAGATTATTTCTATGTTTTCTAAATCACGGAATGATGGATGACACTTGCCTCAAGTTGCTTTTTCTATCGAGTTACCTATAAGAGTGACAACTCGGAGAAATCATTTATCAAATCAAATACTGTTTGTGTTCTGCAGAATATTGATTCGGATTTTCAGGTTTTCGTTATTACATCCATCATTCTAAAGATTACCTTGAAAATATTACTCTATGAAACCTTTTTGTCAGCACATAATACCTGTATTTTTACGATTTCATTGCTAATTATTAAAAAAATATTCCTCTAGTACAAATAACATACCTGTATAGTACATATAATTATAACATATCTAAACACCACAAAACAAACATTATTGATCATCTGATTGAGAATTGGTGGATATTATATACAAATAGAAATTGCGTACATGTATTGTCTTATGTATATATGTTATAATAAGTAAACATAAAAATTGTCAAATGTAATGACTGTTTATTTTATTCAAGGAAAATACAGAATAGAATCGCTGTCTGCTGCAACGTTTCCCAGTGCTTTAGAAGTAAGTAGCTTAGACTATTTTCCATAAACACTAAGTATTTCTTGTTCTCATCTAAGTTAGTGGAAACTGTGGTGTATTTTAAAAAGCACTTATAGTAATAACTACAATATTAAGCTGATGGAAATGTATTCATTCCATTTTTTCTCAGTCTAAGGTATCTAGAACATGTACTTATATCACCATTTACGTAGGTACTCATTAAGCCCCTTATTCTCAACTCCTCTCTGTTACATGGATTAGGTATTAGTTTTATTTCATACCATTTGTTCTACCGATATTAATTTACACAGATTTCGTTTGTCTAAACGGGTAACGAAATCTTGTTAATGAATATAAATATATTTATTATTATTTTTTTAATTATTTTATGCATCATATTTATAGTTTAAAATATATCCCAAACATTCAAAGTATATTTTTCGATGTAACCAGCTAGATTCATAATCATTTCTATATTTCAGGTTATAAGAGTAGCCTTCTGCCAAGATGAGTTTGTGAGCATAGGATGCGAAGTCAACATAAACCCAAAAGCCGCTGAGGAATTATTAGAACTGTGCGCAGACGCAGCATTGGATGGTGTATCTTTGGTTGCTGTTGCAATTGATACTGGCGAAGTAACTGCTGTAGCTTTTAATAAGATACAGGTATTTTTATATAAATAATCATTGTCCAATTAAATATATATATATAATATTAAAATAATTAGTAAATATATATTGATACCTAGATCTGTTAAATATAACTTACTTAAAAATATAACTTCTTGAAAGAATCAAATTTAAATCGTGATAACAAATGATTGATATACTTAATATACGTCAGAAAAATACCTCAAGACATAGATTATATTTGTATATCGAGATTCAGAGACATTATTTTTAATTTCTTACTGATTTTAATGTTCTAGTGTAAAACAATTACAATGGTTTCTCTTTCTTCTCCATAACAACATTTATGTAAACTAAACAGTGTTTCTAACGATATATAAGATAATAATATGTATTAACTGGAAATAGTGAAGTAGGTAATGTTCTATCTAACAATACAATAGCCATGGTTACCAAACTTGAACAATTAATCTATCTATGACGTCGAGACGTGAATAACATTGTGGGCATGATAAATGTAATATATCTGGGTATGGAAATATTGCACCTTCATACATCATATGCATAGTAATGCATATGGTAGTCCTAAGTAGTAATTTAGGACTCCAGTATCATAGATGTGATTAATGGCACAATTATACGTAATTATTATTCTTCACTAGGTAGCGGCTACTGATTCTTCAGAAAAGGCATTCTTTGAAATCTTCGCAGAAGAACGATGTACGCAAGGGCCTTCTCGTTCACTTGTAGAATTTATGGCTAATGTGGATGCAAGATGCAATCTATTCGAGAAGTATGCATTTTAATAACTATTATTATTATATTTAGGACTGTAATTCCAGATGGGGTAGTTATAGGCATTGTCTATTATCGATTCCAATTGAACAGAACATCTGGTACATTTTGCTGAGATTATTTCATTCTAACATACCAGAGGGCGAACCAACCACCATTGCTGATATTAAGTTAGTGGATTTTCCATCGTAGTATTAGTTAGAAATTTAAATACAGAAACAAAGTTGTTATTAACAGCCAGTTTCGATATCACAATTTCTGAGGTAATATCTATTAATAGTAAGGTTATTTAATACGATAATATCTAAATAATGATACTCGTAATAATTAATAGCTTATATTGTAACAATAGAAAATCCTTTCTAAGAAACAAATGGAATATTTCTAAACTAAGAAACTTTTACCCATATAATAAAATATAAAGATTTCTTGTTGCCACAGGCAACCTTTTTGAAAGTTTTTTTATATTTTTACTTGTATGTCTTGATGTTATGTTCCTTTTCTATATAGCAATTATTTTTGTAATGCCATTAATTGTACTACATTTTCTCTTGAAACTAACCTAAATATGTATATTTACATTACCAAGGAATATTTCGTCTCACTTTACACCAGCTAAATACATCACATTTCTAATTAAAATAATAGAGAAGCTGCAAAGTTTCCAAATCAAATCACTTTTCTAGCACTTGCAGAATACGCCCCGCTGGTTGAAAACGCTCCCTTGCGAATAGTCTCATAAAGTAAATATCTTTCTTTGTTTAGTAGTTGAAACGTCTATAATTCTATTTATATCGCATCTAGACATAATGAAAACGCAAACTAAACATTGAATCCGTAGATACATATTACAAGCTTCAGTCCTTTATATTATGGCGTGATTCAGCAACATTTTCTCAACAAACTAATAACTTTTTCAATAGAATACAGTAATGGAGAACAATCGTAATATGAGTAATTAACTACATAGAAAAAATACAGTAAAAACACAGGTTTAATAAATACTTAAATGTTCTAAATATAGTCGAATATACATACGTATATATTATTTATGTTTGTTCAATTTTATACTAAGTGAATACAAACTACCTACTTGTAGGATATTAAACATGGACGATGCATTAAGAAAATTTACTCTGTTTAATATCTTGTATGTATTATTTCATGCAATAAAATTTAATTATAGTATTCATAAAATCGTTGCATATTTGGCTAATTATAAGTTATAATATTTTTTCCTAAACTAAAAAGAGGTATAGGTTAGAAATGGATTTTTTATGCGTTAACCAGATTCAACTGCTCTTTACAGTGGAAAGGTGTAAACAATTTATTCCCTTCAATAGAAATATAGATGGATAGACTGTGCTCATATGAAGTCATGTGTGAATTAACAGATATATCTAAGTCAAATCAAGTGGGAGAATAACAAATTTCGTATATTTATATTATATTTTGCACTCTATTATATACTGCGTTAACATATTCTTATTGTCATGTTGGTAATAAAACAAGTTCATCGACTAGGTAGATTTTGAAAAAGAACTTTGCGTGCCCACCTCAGTCGACAAGTAGATTGCTTTGTAAGCTGTTTCAGTTAGAGGATTAATATATTAGTAGCACAGATAACATAATATTACATATTAGTAGTAAAAAGTAGTGAAATTACAGGATAAAAGTTATTTTAGTCTTCATGAGTGGGAACGCATGAGCGGTATCGCAGGTTTGACATTGTTATGTCCTTAGTGCTGTTCGTATGTTCTGTATATGTACCGTGTGTGTTAGATTACTTACATTAGGTGAGATTTAAAACAAAAAAGTTGAAACGTGTTTGACATTTCAATCAATTAAAAAAACAAAAATTTAGCTATTGCAGACGACCTCGGTGGCCGTCTGCACACCGCTTTACGTCCGATGGTCGCGGGTTCGATTCCTCGCACGGCACAAACATTTGTATTCATGAGTATGATTGTTTGTATCGGTCTGGGTGTTTGCTATGTATTATATGTATGTATTTACGAAACAAAAAATTGTCTATGTATTTGTATTAGTTGTCAAGTTGTCTACCCATAACACAAACTTTAGTTAGCTTAACTTGGGTCTAGATGGCGCTGTGTGAATTGTCCTGAGATTATTATTATTGCAGGCCTAGTAACAAAATGAACATAAAAAGACAAATATGATATGGTTTCCATATTTATTACAAATCACATATTAAAAATAGGAACGTATTATCATTATCTTTACAGAAGGCTCATTCATAAGAATCCTTACAAGAGAGACATCCTCCGTAGAGAAATATTTTTAAGCTTTTGTGTGCCGAATAGGTCATGGACTACGGCATTACATTTTATGTATAAACTTGAAGTCATATTTAAGTTTAAATATAGACTCAGTTAAATTTTTTTATCAAATCCTAAATATATATCTATATCAGCTGAAGAAAGATACTAATCCGCTTATTTTGAGTTATCATGTAAACGATAATATAACGATTACTCTAAAGGTCTTCGATACCGATAGTAAATTTAGTTTGACCGCAATGGAGGATATATTGCGGCCAAAAAATTTAATTAAATATCGTTATCTTTATCATTATCTGTTTAAGTCAAGTTTGATAATAAAAACAAAATATGATCATAAACACATAGTAAACTGATTTATAAGTCACAGTGACATATAAATGTTTCAGATCGCTATTCTCTACTTTAAATGAAACCAAAATTTCGTGGGTTGCAATCTGGGCAACACGCAAACTTTTTGCCTCAATTTGAATCTCCAACTAACTCTCCAGTGAGAGAAATTCAGATAAAAAAGAAAAAGTCGTCCTAGAACCAGCGGTAGGCTCGCAAGTTAGCACGTTAGATTGGAATTATTAAATCAACTTTTTTATTAAGTTATGACCACAGATAATATAATATTACAGTTATGACAGAGATAGTTGAAAATATCTACAACCACCCCGTCTATCATTTCTCTAGATGATACTCGTACAATTTATTAATGTCATATATCAATATAATAGTATAAATCATAAATTTACTAGATGTAGAGATATATAAACTGTAAATTGTCGTCTACATGGGTACCTCAGTCTCGTATGTTTCAGCCACCAGCTTGCATTGCAAGCTGATTTCGGTTGTGGGGTTCAGTTTAGTATTTGTGAGTGTGAAATTACAGTATAATGGCCTGACATCTTTGTCCTCTGGTAATGCATGAATGGTATCACGGGTGTTACATGATAACGTGTGCTGTGTAAATGTCTGTAGTGCTGTTCATGTATGGCAACTGTTACCTCTTGCCGTCAGGCGGGCGTCATCATGTTTGTAATTCTAATTATATAAAAAACATATTATCTTACTTCTATTTAACAGATATGAAGTAGACTGCAGTTTGGAAATAATGTTCCTAGCAACAAAACGTGAACATAGACGACGAAAACTTGGGCAACTGCTCTGTAAAGTTTCGCTGGATTTAGCGAAGAAACTGCAACAAGGACCTGTATCAAAAGTTACGTTAGAAGATTTAGGAACGAAATATTCAATGTTACAGCCGAGATCCCCCACGACTAAATATCCGAAAATCTGCCAAGCTATTTGGACATCAGAGGGTACACAGCGTATAGGAAAAAATCTGAATTTTATAGTACATTTATCAGTTCCATTTAAAGAGTTTGTATATGAAGGTAAAAGTTACGCAGATAGAATAGGATTGGAATCATCTTTTTGTGAAGTCGCTGCAAAACCTCTGTATAATATTTAATAAATTTCTTATTTGGAAAATATAGTAAAATTTTTGTATATAGTAAATCAATTATATTTTTGACTTAAAAAAATGAATATATTTTATGGCTTTTTGTTAATTAAAATTCGGAATATAATTTTTCTATTATCTATTAACAATAAATATTAATTATATCAAGTGATTTTTTATGACATCTTCATCAATTTGTCTCTGAAATAAAATTATAATTGCGAAATATTTTTTTGATTTTCTTCCTTTACTTTTTAAACAATGAAAATGAACTTCGTTTGCAGAATTATGACAACACTAATGTAGTGTAATAGAAAGGCAGAGATTTAGAGTAAATGGATATTTCGCAGTCTTATGAGCATATCAAAAGTACATGCCGTACTTTAATCTGTAGGTCTATAATTTACAGAGAACGCCACATTGTTAAAAGCAAGTTAACATCGGTTCAGTTAGATAGTTGGACAGCTCTAATTGCGTTGTCTTACTCTAGCCAAATTGGTTCTTGTTAATTGATTTGGAATCGGCACAGACTTTAGTCCGTTCGTATGGATTATTCCGTTTGCAGTGAAAATTAACTGTCTTCTCCGATAAAATCTAAAACTAACCATATAGTTTTGGATTTTATCGGATTTTATAATCATTCAATAACCATAAATATTAAATAAGAGGATGGTACATTCAATACCAAAGAATACAAGTTAAAGAGCTCATATACCTAATTACATATAATACTAAGTTGGTACAACTTAGGATATTCTGGCTGTTTTAACCTTCATACGATTGTTTTCTTCCATGTAGAGGTCAACCTGACATGTATCTAGTTCCCATTACTAACAATCCCTTCCCGTTATGTACGGATTTATATTCAGCTTAACTATCTAGCCTACCATGAAATGTGGCGTCTATTTCTAAATGGAAAGAAAATAACAAAGAAATTATTTTTTTGTAAAACTATCCCATATTAAAATATATGTAGCATTTACAGGAATATGTATTGCGGTGTAACAGACCAACAGAATGAGATTTTTATTTTTTAGTCCGTAACGAAATAATATCAATACAATAATAGTGTTGGTATCTTTATAACAATGTTTAAGATTATTACAGACATCGACGGTTTCTTTATCCAACAGGAGCGACCGGACATAGCCATTAAGTACCCCGATGAGCTCCAGAAATATTTATATAGAGGACTTATTTCATACTTCAACGAGTCAGAAAATTAGGAAAGGAGTACAAATATATTTACTGCTTTCGGTGACCGAAGCATTTTCCCCTGAAATAAATTTCCGTTCCACAAATCTGCAGTAGTAGAGAAGTATTTTATTTAGATTAAGACAAACTATGTTTTTCAAATTGTTGTTCAAATTATGAGGCAACTCAATTTACTTTAACAAATACAAAAAAAGTTAACTTTGGAATAGTCATATTTTTTTTATTCTACTACTCATTTAGAACGCAGACTCATCACAAGAAGAATGAGTTACGTGGTGCTGTTTTAAATAAATGTTGTTCAGAATTACATTTTTACGATTTTCGTGTCATTGTGTAAATCAGTCATAGGTATAAGAGCAGACCATCGAATTAATTAAAACTGTTGTATCTACTTTTTTTTATATGTTTTTTAATATCAATGAAACTGGTAACCTATTAGATGGTAAGTGGATGTAGCGTATGTATAAGTGAACACTACAGTAGTCCTGTGCACATGAAGACCTCTATAGTCATCACGTTAACATGTGCCGTCCGTCATACCGTTCAAGCGTTACCATTACGGTGGATTTAGATGTCATACCTCTTTGTAATTTAACTATAATCTGAACACAGATTACAGCTGATAGCGGCTGAAATAGTGAGACTAAAGTATCGCAGAACAGTTATTATAAAGTCTAACTCGGTATTTACGTACCAGTGTCATCCTTCCACAGTATGTTCTTGACGTAATTGCAATTAAGTAGTTACTCGTGTCTCCATAACCTCTAATGTGCCTGCTTGCCGTGACAACACAATGATTTGTTTGTGCTGAAGATACGATTATGATCACTCCACTAATTGATAGTAACTTATATGATACATTGTGATGAAATTACCTATAAATTATATACAGTTATATATACTTAAATCGGTATTCATAATGAATAATTATAATGACAACTGATTATGGCCTGGACTAACTTGCTTATATACATATACTACTATTATCACGTAGTTTAGACGATTTGGTAGTGTGTTGTTTTGTTCTCCTAATCATCTATAACATCCTGGATATGTTAGAAGCACAGTAACATAATATTTTTGTACTTTTGTAATGAGGTATATTATGTATAAAGTCACTTGCGGGCTTCAACTGGTAATCAGCATGCTTGATGGGTGAGATATGCCAGAAAAATTATACGGTTTGGAGGCATAATACCTTAGTCTTCCGGAATATCAATACATAACGCATTTCCTATATTTTATACGCATGTGGATATACATAACTTTATACCCATAGACGTTCGCTAGTTACACCATGACTAGTGTTATTTTACTAACCCTGATACCTACCATAAGGATCTCTAAACATACGAACTTTGAAATGTTTACTCAAACCCCAAAACCTCTAAATTGTAATATATTAGCGTAAATAGAGAGGAATTCAATTATCCGTTATCAAATCAACTGTGGGGCACATCAAACGTAGAATGTATTCAAAACTTCGCCGAATTACCGAATTATTACGTCCACGGGTTTGGGTCCGCGAATCATGTCTATTTATGAGATCTCATGATGGTGGCCATATTATTATTTTTGACGGCATCGGTTGTATAGGCGTTTACTACATTAACTTACTTCCGATGATCGCAGGTTCGATTCTTCGCATGATACAATAAATATAATTCGTATTCATGAATATGATTCTTTATATTGGTCTGGTATGTATTTTGAAACAAAAAATGTATTAAATATCAGTTATCTGATACAAATTAGATGTGTGAATTATCCAGTATTATTATTATTATTTTGATTTACTTCGGGTTCGATTATTCAATTCGTTCCTAGATATAAATTATTCATCGGACAATATGGAAGCCGAGCGTTTTAAACAAATCAATAACTGTATGTAGCTGGATATAAATAAAACAAACACGATAAACATTTTTAAATTTCCAATGAGAAAAGCATGCGGCATTTAATTTTATCATACTGTTAATTATTATTTAATCGACTTCAAAAGGAAGGTATATTTATTTTTGGTTACATTTTAATGATTAATTTATAATTCCAATATTTCCAAATTTTTCGTACAAAGTTTATAAGGACTTAAGTGTCTCTTTTTTGTAATTTATTAAAGTGATATAATGGTACACTCTGAAACACATTTAGACACATTTTGCGTCTCTATGAGACTTAAGCTTGTGATCTTATAATTGTATACCGAAAAATATCTATATTGACCATGTATTATATTATATATAGATGCTTATAGAATTATGATTAATTGTAATTAATAATTAATTTTGATGATTTGAATGAACTGATGTGGACAAGTATGCCTTTGAATTCCAACAAATGACTATTATCAAAATAATTAACAGTAGGTACAATGTAGTCGAGACTACGATTAGCATATTGGCTTCTATGCATACGGCTAATTAAGCAAAGTGCCAATAAGACTAATGCGGGAATGCCAAACGCAGTATTGCAGTAGGTATGTTTACATGAATATAGTAATGTACCTATATGTTATTTCTAAGCTCAAACATAAGAAGAAAATTGTCGTAAATTATTGGTTATGAAAAGCAATGGTTTGGTGCCTGCAATGCACCGAACACAAGTGGAGTATGATTGTATTAACATGAATTATTATTATATATTAAAATCAAATCATATAGGCTAATATGACAAATTTACCAGCAATTAACTAAGGGCAACAAAATACTGAAGTTTTAAAAATTAAATTTAAGAAGTATATTTTTTTGTCAAGAATATATATAAAGACTAACTTTTGCTCGCGGCTTCGCTCGTGTTAATTTATCCCCTTAGGGGTGGAATTTATCAAAATCCTTTCTTAGGGGATGCCTACGTCATAGTAGATATATGCATGCAAAGTCTCAGCCCGATCGGTTTAAAATTGACAAAGTCATCCCCTATTTTATCCCCTTGGGGGTAGAATCAATCAAAATCCTTTCTTAGCGGATGCCTACGTAATAACATCTATCTGCATGGTAAATTTCAGCCCGATCCGTCCAGTGGTTTGGGCTGTGCGTTGATAGATCACTATGTCAGTCACCTTTGAGTTATATACACATATATAGATTAGTCTTATCGTTAAAACGTCCTACTTAAATTATATATACATATATAAAGCAAATAATAGAAGTCACGAAAATTATATCAAGGTGACTGGGTCGCATTACCTATAAGTAGTAGGTTAGTAGTTAATCCTCCTCCACTATCAAACTGGATGTGCGGCTGGATATGATATTGTTAATAATTACGAATATAGTATACAGTTCAGCCTCATGTATATGTCCTTGGGGCGAAAAGCTTAGTTCAAGGTTAAGGATAGTGTTCTGCTGACACATTATATATTTACTGCGTTATATATGCATTATATAAATGTAATTGATCACTTTCTCTACATGAAAGATGTAGGAGAAATACCATTATAACTTTTACTTGACTTTACTTGGGTTTCTTTCAACATAATAGAATTTAAAGTATACACAGTACGGGCGACTGTCTTCAGCAGCTATAGCGGAATATTCAAAATTAGAATAATATAGGCCTTTTTTATAGATAAGAAATGTCAAGATATAAATAAAATAGATCTAGATCAGCCTTTCAAGTACCGTAAACAGCCAAGAACTGTCGACTGCCTGTTGGCCCCCGAAGGCATCCAATCTACAGGAATGGGCTCCTTCTGTTTTCGATTTAATGATCAATTAGCAAGTATTTGCATTGTTTTAAACATCTTTCGCTTCCATTCTATTGTTACTCGAAACAAAAAACAAAAGAGTTATTTTTCTTGTTTATTATAGGACTCGATAAACAGAGATTTTGATAAAAATATTTTATCATCTTGCTTAATCTGATTGATAAATATCGTAAAGTAGATACTTATCTATATGTTGGCTTTATTTAAACATTAATATGGCTATTTATTCTTATAATTCAGTACAATATTTTA